TATGCATCATTTTCCTTTTTGGTCTTCAAATAAAGATTTATCCAAGTTTGTATGCTTTGAAAGACTATTCAGGGGAAAAAAAATGTGTAGTGATGAAATTGGTATTGCCGTTTATTCAGCTGTGCTGTCATTGAGAATAGTGACTGTCTATTATCAGTATTGATACATATTGAAATTTAGCCAGGTTTCTCCTGGATTTTGTCTTTCCAAAAACTAACAGGGCATCCAGAATCAATCTAGTACAGAAGTCACTTGAAAAACATTTATTTTCTTCTATGTGGGGACAAATTACCAAAACAAACTCAATAAAATAAAAAGAAAATCAACAAATATTTTTTTAGACTGATCTTCTCTCTGAAAATGAGAACACTGTTATCATACATGATAGAAAAATGAGTTTCTTGTGACTCTTGGGCTCATACCTGATTCTTGTTGATGCTAGGAGAGACTGCTGAGTGAAAACGGACTTTGAAAATCACATCTTTCTGTTTTACTCTCTGTGATACAGAATTAGCAGCATAAGCTGCATTCAAAGAAAGTGCCTTTTCTCTTCCTCTGGCATTTTCATTTAGCGCATGCTTCAGGGCAAGAATTATGAATATTACCTTCTGCATTTCACTACTGATAGCCATTGACTATCAGCATTAAGCCATTAAGAGTTCATTCCCTTCTGATGAATTTTCTACATTTTTTACCTCAAATATTGAATGTATAGACAAATCTAAAATTCCTCAAAGATCACATAAGGAGCAGACCATAAGGAAAAAAATATTTACTTGATAATTTTTTTTTTTGCATATCCTCTGTCTGGGACAGATTGTGCATATTTGCTTATGTCCGCAGGTAAATTATTTATTTCAGACACTAAGAAAATCCAGCCCAGTAGACCACTCTAAGTTAATTATTTGCACAACTCTCTTGCTTTTTGCCTGCGCAGAGTAACAACTCACAGGGGGCATCTCAGGGAGCAGTCTGTACAAACACAGTAAAACACAGTGATTGGTGTGGATTTTAGGGAGACCCTGACTACTGTAGTCTGTGCAAAACTTTGGAAGTTTTGACTCACCTAAGGCTAGACTCACAGAGATGAGTTCCAGGAGAAGTGCTCATGGATGGAATGCCAGTAGTTGGACGTTGGCCTGAGAGGCCCTTTCCCTGTTGTCCGGTGGTGTTGTGTCACTCTAGCCCACAATGTAAGGATCAGACTCTTACTTGTCTCTGCCCCTGCCAGTGGGAGCTCAACATACACGTACCTCTGAGAATCTGCAGCTTACTTTCTCCGATTCACTTCAATTGATTTGGGATAGCAGCACATCTTTACAGCACATGCTGTAAAGATATGAATATGAATATGATATGAAGCTCATAACCCAATGGCTACAAGAACTCTAATGAGTAAGACACAAATCGCCTATTTATCACAAACTGCAGTTCTAAGATAGATACTGCATAAGTTATATAAGCTCTACTGGTCTAGCAAAATACGTATATAAAATATTTACATTTCTCTATGTCTACACACTCTTTTTAATATCATTTTACTGTTTAAGACTATTTCCAATTCCCTGCCCTAGCTTTATACTCTGAATAGTGAAAGAGGGTTGATTTAACACTGTGGGTTCAGAACAAGCCTACATCTTGTCTGGGTGATGAATGAATGATACTAACAGAGCTGATGTTTTACTAGTTTTACAGACAGTTTCTTGTTATAGAGGCTATCACAATAAAAAAATGGGTGCTAGTGAAAACTCTCTAAGTTTTGTATATGTGGGTGGAAATCTGAAGCTCTGTCTCTTTAGCATCCTTTTCCTTTGGAAAGCCGTAGTACAAATACAAGGGTAAAAGCACATACATGAGGCTGAGCCTAACTTATTCTGGTATTTTGGCACAGCCGTGCTAGTAGTATCTCTCCTCTGTCCATTATCTGCCAGCATCTGCTTGCCTCTTGTTTAACATTTACAGGAGAGTCAGGCTGACTTTCTATTCTGTATTTTGCATTTGTTCTGTACTTATATACTTGAAAATGTAAGATGTGCTGCAGGGAGGGTTGGCTCCTTACAGCAATGAAAACAGCAATATTAGCCTTACTTGATGCGAGTCTAGCAAACTGTGCTCAGTGCTTGTGTAAGTATCCTGGCGTGCTTCTGCTTTCTAGCTGTACATGCAAATACCAACTATATGGAGTCCAACAGAAGCTCAATATCTTCTAAGAGACAAGAAGCCACAGGGTACTCCTTGACGCAAAGGAACATGGCTAAAAACTTGTATTGCCTCTCACTCAAAAAAATGAGAGCAAAGTCCACATATCCACGTGGTCTGTACAAACACAACATAAAAGATAAATGTCTTTCATGTTCAGAGAAACACACAGATATCTATTACAGATTATATACTGATGTAATCTGGTACTAAGGAATTTTTATGGTTGATACGTCTGTAGTGTAGATAGACTGCAAGTAGCAGAAAGTGATAGTCTGGGGTTTTGTAAGTGTATATAGGGAAGTTATTCAACAGCCATGCAACTTCAGTGCAGTTAAATGATTATGTAATATATCTTCCAATAAAAGCTAATTACAATATAATGAACAAACTTGCTAAGGGCCTGCAAACATCAATGGATGCCAAAAATAATTTGAAGAGTCCATTGACAAAATCTGATAATTGCCTGATTTGAGATACTCATTCTTCCTTAACAAATTCTAACCAATCCCTCATACATCCACAAGGTCACTTCATTGTTGTTTAAGTTTCTTAAGATTTTCCTTAACAGCATCATCTCCCAAGAAGCAGGATTTTGTGCCATGCTTTCTTGTGCTATTTATGATTAAATGATCACAAAAAAAAAAAAACCTCTATGGTGGCACTGGATTGAAAGAGTAGGCCAAATGTCAAGATGACATTAAATTCCGAGCTCAGACAGGGGCCTCATGCTTTCTTTTTTTGATTTAGCAGCGTGCTGTGAGTCTCAATTTGGCAACTGTACAACAAGCCAAGTACCCTTCTCATTAGTGAGTGTGAGAAATGCACACTGATGTGATAAGGGACAAAAAGCAATTTCATTGCAAATGAGTCATCTTTAAAAACAAGGTTCTCTCTCAGAAGGGAAAAGTGCTCTTCCCTGTCCTCTAAAAAGGCTCACGACTCTTTGTACACATCAGTCTTAAGAATCCCAGGAACTCACAAAGTGCTATAACATGGTTCTGAATTATTAACCAGAGTAATCTAAATGAGAACAAGCTAGGAAGGAACTGTGCAGTTATGCAGCGTCACGTTCAGATGAATAAATGTACGATTTGGAATGGCAAGTAAGAACACAAACAAAAAAGTAAAATAAAGTCATGGGTTGTAATGAAAGATGGTCTACCTTTTTATTATTATTATTATTATTATTATTATTATTGCTTTTCATTACTTAGTAAGGCAACACAGAGAATTTGTCCTCTCTGAAATGGCAGAGCAATGACAGGATGAAACACAGAGAGGTTGAGCTAATCCATGCAGGTGTCATGCCAAGTTATCGAAGGGGCTACTATAATTGTTTCCCTTGTAAGCAGTCTTTGACATTGGAAATAGCTTACCACGTGCAACTTTATTCTCAAAAGACCTTTTCTAAAGTTTTCCTGTGCTATGGCCAGTATCCCACAGGCTAGTAGCTAGCTTACACCGTGACAATATTCACACCTCCTTTTTCCTTTAAGAAGGAGCTATGAAAGTGAAGTTATTTGTGAAAATGCTTTGATCTACTCCTCCCTCTTCCAAGTATTATGAGGTTCTGGTGTCAATCACACGCAAGTAGGATTGTCTTTCACAGCCAGAAGCAACAGAGTGATGCAAATGAAGCAGTTGATACTTGACAGTGTCATAGTACGTAAGATAAGACTATATTCTCAGAGTATTTGTTTGTGCAGACATTTCGGTAATACCTGCTTGGATACTAGGATGCCCCACAGATTTATGGAAGGACAAAGCTGTAAAGGTTATTTCTCATTGAGAGTTTAGAGAATCAGTAGCTAACAAAAATTATGTTCTATTCCAGCTAAAAAATTAAGGGAGTGGGGATTTGAGCTGCCTGAGCCTTTCAGGCAACTGGTTTAACAATGAGAATAAATTCAATTTTCACCTACCTGTTTTTTAATTGATCTTTTGTTATCAATTTTGGCAGAGGTATCAACTTCACACAGGACAACTTACCTCCCTCCCTCCAGAGGCATGGTGGTCTTTCAGGGCTGATTGTTTCAGGATACTTTGTCAACCTTTGTCAGAGCAGGAGCAATGATTAATGAAATGCTGCTATTCTCAGAAACAACCCCCTTAGTACCTAAATCCTAGAATCACTGCATCTTACTCACAGTACGTTTAATAAGAAATACACTTGCAGACTCCTGAATTACACGAGGCATATATATATATAAATACATATATGGGATGTGGCAGATTTTGTCCCATGCACACTTGCATTGAACATTTCTAAGCCTCTCACACTGATGTGAACCAAATGTTTAAGATAGATAGTGGTTATTTTATGGCTAATATTCTGCTAAGAAATGCAAGTAAAGCAATTGGAAAATGTATATACATATTTTAAGCCAGTCCTCCTCTCCAAGTATTTGTGCAACTATTCCAAATAAGCATTTATGAAACAGTCATATACAGGTTTCTGAAACCACAGAACCCTTGTTTCTAGGCAGGTAGCTTACAGAAGCTTAATATTAGTATAAAATATGCCATGCCTATTTTTGGCAGTTGGACAGGAGATGGTAACCAACCCCCTCCCATTCAGTTTTCTGCAGCTTTCACTAAAAGTGGGAAGTACTATATCAGAAAGAAGAGTCTGGGAGTTAACTAAGTCATTATAAATGATTACTTCATTGTTTATAAGCTTTTAAAAAGTGTGTGTTTGCAATTCCATATTGTTGACATTACAGACATAAATGGAGAATTCTGTATCTAGAGTAAGTTACATAATTACAATGCAGGACAACAATAGGACAACAAGGCACACCTGAAAGTTGTTTTATTTGTTCATAAGGTTTGTGCATTACAGGAAGCATAGGTTTAACTACTGTGGACAAAAGTTCACTTCAGTCTGGAAGAGCATTAAATGTTAACCATAGAGACGGACAGTAGAGAGCCCACATTTGTGCACAATATGCAGGGTTTTTTTTCTATTGATGGAATCTAGCATACATGAGTTACAGATCTTTGAGATCTTTCTGGATGCTCCACAGTGTATCTGCACTCTTCTTCAGCTGAGCCACCTCATCATCCTTCAGCTTTTGGTTGATGACACTTGTCAATCCAGAGGCACTTAGGACACAAGGAAGGCTCAGGAAGACTTCATTCTCGATGCCGTACATACCCTGCCACAGACAAAAGCACCGTTCATCACTCAGTGAGGAATGTTTTGTTGAGATAGCATTAAGCCTACTGAAGCCGAGCTGAAGACTTACATCACATTCCAGTTCTACTAGGAGTCACAATGAGCAAAAAATAATTTAGTTTTGAAAACAAAGTGACTGGCAATCCTGAGATGCCTGACTTTGGGATTTCTCTCATTCCTTCTATCACTCCCACCAAAAAAGAGAGAAAACCCTTCCACAGCTTATATAGCAATTAATTGACAAATGCCCCACAGCCTTAGTATTTGGGTACATAATAGCACAAGTGTTTATTTCCTGAATGTAGAGGGAGCTGTAGGTTAAGTTCAGCATGCTCCAAGTCCTTGCCTCGTCACAGGAAACATAGCAGGCACAGACCAGATGCAGCTGGTTACATAAGTACAGGAGGATATAGCTCTCCTGCCTGGCAGTTTTGGTGCAAAGTGTTTCACGGAGTCACAGATGGGCCTTCAATGAGTTAATTGTTTTTTGCACTGTACGTTCCTTCTAATGAAACTGCACAGTACATCTGGGGAACTTGATCCAAAATTAAATATGACATTGGCCAGAGTACAGAGACTTTTGTTACAACTCTTTTGTGAGAGAAAGGTAAGCTAAGAGGGCTGACTGAAAAACACTACAGTGCTCAGTTCCCAGTACAGTGCTTTCAAATTCAGGGCAGCTCTCTTACAAAGTTCTCTTTATTCAAGGCACCTTGCAAGCTGGGACTCTGCACCTACCTAGCTCTTCCACAACAAAATCAACCAAAACCGCCAGGTGGCTCCTGTTTCTTACCTTCACCATAGTGGACACAGGATGGACCCGACACAGGTTCTTCAGCATGGTCTCACAGAGGTCAGCAACGCTAAGGCCAATGGCCCAGTTTGTGTATCCCTTAAGTTTAATCACCTCATAGGCACTGAAAAAACAATGAAATACATTAGCTAAGGTGGCTTCAAAACACTTCCTGAACGATAAACCTTAAATAAAAGTTTCACTTTTAAGAGCAACTGAAATCCTTGTGATACACATGCCAAGCTCCGCATTTAAAAGTCTAAAGAATAAGCCTACAGATTTCAGTATTAGACAATAAAAAAAAGCCTGTGTTATCCCATACATGCAATGAAGAAATCCTATTGTACTCAAGATAGATATTTTTCAACTTGTATTTTCTAAGAGCTTATCTTACAGCGTTAAACACAAACCAAACAGAAAGGTAATTGAACAAAGTTTTCTATTCAAGTCAACAGACCAATAATTTAGATAATCTATTCTGAATATATTCAGAATAAGTATTTAGCATCAAGCCATGCACTGTCCACACACATATTCTCCAGGGAAAAAAATGGGTTTTCTATGCTCTGTATCTCTAGACTCTCCGTATCAATATAGTCCTTGTTTCACTTGTGAAGCAAATGAAACTGAAGTGGGTATTTTATGCAATAGCGTAAGACTTGCTGCAGGATGCAGCAACTTATGAACAGAAATTCTGCAACTCTTCCTTTAAATTAGTATGTTTCCTTGCTAATGCAACCCTCTTCATAAAAGAGCACAAAAGCTGCTTTGGAACGGACGCAGGGACAAGGAGGGAGCGAGCAGAGCAGCTATCTTTCCTAGCATGTCCTGTCCCCATATTCCTCACTCACCTTTCCACCACCTGCTTGTGGACCTCCTTCCAGTTCTCACTGTCATTGTCTGTTCCCATGGCAGGGTTCAGCTCCTGGAGGGAAACGCCTGCCACATTCACTCCACTCCAAACAGCCACTGTAATGCACATTAGAGATGTAGTAAGGTTTAGCAGCAGTTAGCACTAGACAAAAGCTTGAAAGAAACAGGCAGACCTCCAGAGAGAGTTAGATTTTATATTTTTCAGTTCAGAGTTAGATTTTATATTTTTGTTTCACTGCTGAATCTTGACAACTCTCTGCTGTCAAATATGAGAAGATATAATCAAAATGTCAGTACCAACAGATTAATCTCTCGGTGCTTGAATGAAAGAACTTTCAGTTCTTTATAGCTATCTTTGATGTCAGAAGCTTCAAATTCCAGGAAATTGGTGTCTTAACTGTTTCTTTTAAAAGTGACTAAAAAGGAAATTATTTTAGAACTGCAATAAGAAGTATGTATTTGCTGTTCCTCTAGGATTGCTCTCCAAGAATTTTCTTCATATTCCCCTGAAAACCAGTCTAGCAACATGTAAAGTTACAATTCCAAGATAGGAATTTGTGCACCTCCTGCTATGCTGAAAGGCTCATTTGCTGTTCCAGTGAAGATTGAGAAAGTTTCCTTCTCACTTGAAACAAAAAGTAGCTATTATACCAAAGCAGAATGAGATCTGCGTATGCTCAACTATGCTTTGTCTTCATTATAGTGTAGGGCTGATTTCAGTAAATCCTGAAGGTGACCAGTCACTGATTCAAAGGGTCACTGAACAGGTCATCTTAAAAATGCAGAGCACTAGGAAGTGCAAACCAGCACCAATCACATACGCAACTGTTCTCCTGCATCATTTCAGACTTGAAAAGAACATCTGAACAATTAAGATTCATTTCACGGCGATTTAAAGTTCTCTAAGTAACAGAGAGAAGAAGTCACAAGAGAAGGTAAAAGGTAACGGCAGTATCTTAAATCTGAATTGCTAGCACTTTCCACTGTCCGCAATGGAAACTCTGCAGCTGATCTAACATGAACTAACAGTGCTTTCAGTAGAGGCTGTATTATGATACTCCAAAACTGAGGCCAGAAGGAAAATTAAGGTGCGGGGGGTGGACAATTTCACCTGTAGAATTAAATCTACAGCCCCAGTCACTCATTGAAAATTATGTGGCTGGGCTTCACAGAATCACAGAATGGTTAAAGTTGGAAGGGATCTCTAGAGATCATCTAGTTCAACCTCCCTGCTCCAGCTGGGACACCTAGAGCACATGGCATAGTCCTGGACTTGTCTTAACTCTGTTCTTCATAAAAATACAACTAAGTGCCCGTAACTCAAGCTCAGCTGCATCTGGTTCTCTCACAGTTTTGCAACACATCTTAGGCCTTCTTTGTGACTTCTTTGGTATTGCTTATTCTCAGTGAGACTGGAAGAGCTCCTTACCACTTGAATCACCATGTTCTCCCAGGATCCAGCCATGGCAGCTGCTTGGGTGGATACCAAGTCTCTCGGACATCAGATAGCGAAATCTGGCTGAATCGAGGTTGCAGCCGCTTCCAATCACACGATGTTTTGGCAGGCCACTCAGCTTCCATGTGACATAGGTTAATATATCCACTGAAAAGAAGAACATGCACATTCAGGAAAACAGTTCACATACACTGAAAAAAAGAACCCTTAACTACCTCACTTTGGTTGGTAGAGCAACCAGAGGGACTCAGAATACAGCTGGGCTCACTGGCCACAGTATTTTGAGCTATTTAGAGGAACAGAAAAACATACGCTGCTTGGATAACCTAGCGGTTGCCCACCTACTGTTTTAAAATTGAGGATGATCACTGGAGAATAGTATCCTATCAGCTAAACCCAGAGCAGCTTCATTAACCATAGGGCATCCAGAATTGGGACTGAGCTCTATTCACATGGCTAAAAACTTCAAACAATTTCAGGAAATGACCTTATCTTCCTCTTAATCATCTCTCTAGAGGTAGAGCAATTTATTTTCAGTGAAACATGTTTGATTTCTGTACCATAACTACTTCAGGTTTATTTCTTAAATAGGTTTGGCTTTAAGCAGTATTTTCACTCATCACCTCAACATCATGAAAAGCCATATAAACTACATTTTGGCATGTAGCTGTAAAAAAAGTATTTATTTTTAGGAGAAAAAAAAAGAGAAAAAGAAACGAGTTTGGTGGGAAAGGGGCTAGAAAGAGAAATGAGTAGAGAAAAACTCAACTCCTTAACTTAACAGAGTTGTAAGAACAAGTTTTGACTCCCAAGCTTTAAATGGTAAAGCAGTTCTCATGGGGGAATGATCTTATGTTGGTCTGTATATACCTGTAATGTATCACTCAGCTCAGATACTAAAAGTCTACAATTTCAGCAGAGTTCATACCTCGCTGTCATGAGTCACACTCTTTGGGCAAAGCTGCCCTAAAGCTTCAGTTAAGAGAGTTCCTGCCAGGGTCAAATGTTATCTGCACAGACTACGGGGCACCTTCTTGCCAAATGCCTACATTTATCTCTGGAAGATCTTGTTTTCGAGCTAGGTACTGAGCCAGGTACGCAGACTTTTGAGGGCTGATCTGCAACCTCAGTTTGTCAGCAGTAGGGCTTTGCACTTGGGACAGGTCAAGGACAGTGCTACCAAAGTTAGAGCCCAGCCAGATTTGGGGAAGTTCAACAGGGAATGTCATCCAAGTAACACACCAAAACATGTGGTGGGTGCCCTTGATGCTCTTTAAGTCCCTTCTAATGCCCCTCATAATAGCTTACACTACAGAAGACTAGATACAACATACGGCAATTGAGCAGAAAACATTATAAAAACAATCCTGAAAAAGCAAATTTACAGTTCTCCTCTTGCAGCTTTTCTACTGGAGGCAAGTCTATTGTCTGAATACAGCCACAACAAGAGCCAATTCATCTTTTACTCCATTCAGTATTTTATATGGATATTTAAAATTACCCTAAGTTATTACACTTGTACAGTAGCCTCTTGCTCAGTACTTCAGCATTCAGAACTACTTGTACCCTAGCTACCTACCCAACAACCACCAGTTGAGTTGCTAGTTTTATACATGCTATTCTGCCTCTGCAAAGTTATCAGTGTCACTTAATTTCTAGGGTTCTGTACAAAAGATAACTAAGATTGTATTTAGATTTATTTATTTATATTTTCACCCCCAGTATTAATGGGATAAGTATAGTATGTTCATACAGATAAATTCTTCATATTGAAGAATGGACATATTTTTATATTCAGGCACAAGTGAAAGTTATTATTTATGACCAATTTGCAAGCAAATTGAATAGCTCTTGCACCTAAAAACTTTGGGACTAAAACCTTAAAATTATCTACTGCTTGTAAAGTGAAGTATGTACAGAAATTAAGTATTTGTCATGAGACAAATTTTTAAAAAGGACATCATGGGAAATCCTGAAGAAACAAAACACTGCCAATTGTAAATTGTTTATTTCTGTTTTACAGTTAGTAACTCCATGGCAGAGATTCAAAAAGAAAAAAAAATCTTTTTCAACATTCAAACAATATTTGATAAAGTTAATAAAATAAAACATCATCTCCCTGAGCAGTAGAATTTGTAGATGTTATATTAGAAAACTGCCTTACCTGGGTTGGAAACAACAAGGATGGTGCAATTGGGACTGTATTTAATGATTTGAGGAATAATGAATTTGAAGACATTCACATTTCTCTGTACCAAGTTGAGACGACTCTCCCCCTCTTGCTGGCGAACGCCTGCAGTTACTACCACAATCTTGGAGTTGGCTGTGACAGCGTAGTCTACAACAGAGCATGACAAACAAAATATAGAACTTGCTGACTTATCACTCATGTCAACAGCACTACATTCCTATAGGTATCCTGGGTAGCTCCTATGCTGTTCAAATATTCAAACCCAAACACGAGACACACCAACTATTACATCCTCCACATATATCAAAAAGTGGCAATTGAGAGTATTGGGTCTTGATTCACCCCTCTGAATCTCATTTCTACTACTGAAACACCATAAACCATATTTCCTCTACATTAGAGATGTAGTAGAGTCTCATTAAAATCAGTTTGATTTGATTATTGTCCTTAAGGGTAAAGTGACCACTACAGATGTAGGAGAACGCTCATATTAAGACCTATCTCCATTAATAGTGTCCAAATCTTTGCAAAACTTCATGTATATAAGATGCTCATAACTTTTAACTCTCTGATGACATATCCTCAGTTCATTACCATTACATAAGACTGCTCTACTATCTAATAAGAAGAGAGAATCTGAGGTTCACCTTTGTCTGCCACAATCTTGTGAGTCTGAAGGAACAAGCTCCCATGCTGTAGGTCCATCATTTCTCCTTTCAGTTTGTCTTCCAGAACATCAACCAGAGCAAGTTCATCACAAAGACCCTGAGGAAAGCAATATGAAATTTCAAGGAATTAGTGGAGTGTGCAATTATTACCAGTTACTACCTGGCCTCTCAAGGTTACTTTTGCTGAGCTGAACTACATAAGCACATTCTTGAGTAACATGGCACATCTGAAAGCATCTCTTTTCCAGAGACAAACCACTGAGTTACTGAAAGGTACATTAGAACAAAATCAGAAGCTATTTTTTAGCACACGTGCATAAACACTTTGTTCAAGCTTGCTTAAAAAAGTGTATTTGTGCTTTCACCTTTGAGAGTTGTAACACACTCCCCAAATCCATCCAAGATAAGTATGCCTGTTTTGAAAATATTTAGATGTCTAGTAAGGCACACTACAAAACTATCAAATAAATATTCCCTTGTAACATTCCTTCTCCCAATTCAGTGAATTATGCAAAAAACCCCATAATTGCAAGAAACTGATTTTCCTTGTTAGTGAAAAACCATATCAAGAGAAAACGATTTACCTATTTTTTGCTTTACTAAAGTTATTACAACTTAGGTCTTCCACAAAACAGTTAACCACATACTCTTGTTGTCCAGCTACATTAATTTGGAGGATAATGTTATATAGTCTTAGAACAGAAAAACATTTAAATGCTGTGGATGGGGGAGGCTTTCTACTATAATTCATAAATTTACCACTTTTTGAAAAATATTTGAATTCTAACATGTTTTTAAAGGTTTGCCATACAGGAAATTATAGAGCAATCCAGATTAGTACATTTTTCTTCTGTTTTCCTAGGATCTACATACTTTTTGAAAGCAGCAAGCTAAGGCATTTTTATGCTGTTGAATATGTTACCTTGAGCAGCCTTCTCTCCTTTGATTGTTATTGACTATTTTAAAATGCAACAATACACTTTGCTTTTCTGCTGGGAAGGTATATTTAACAGCAGACATAATGATGCTCTCAGTTTCCTTTCACAACTCCTTTCAGCAATTGCTGGAGGAAAACTGCAAAAACTTGTACAAACAGGAGTAATTCCAATGACTAGTTTTGTGGATTTGCATCAGTGTTGCCTAGAGAGGAGTCTGCCTTGTTATTAACACATAGGAATAAGAAAGCTTTGCAATCACTCTCTAATGCCGCTTAAAATATTCTCATTAAAAAACAGTAGACTTTCAAGGTTGCGGTGAAAAATCCTTCAATTTCCTCTAAAATGGCACAGCAACGTCATACAGCAATTATATATAGTAACTGAGGGGGAGCTAAAAATAATCAGCATGAAAATTGTAGTGTTATTCAGGTATATATACTAAACCAAATACTACGCTAGTAATCTCAACATAGTATCCCACTATTTTTAGCTATATAAAATTAATCAAATACAACTTAACGCATCTGTAGATTAAAGGTTAGGAAATTAAGTGCAAAATTTTATGCTATAGCTTGTTTTTTTTAAAGGAAGACATTTTGGAGCCATCCATCTTGCAGAAGTCGAAGTAATGTCTACTTTGGTGGCATAAGTTGAAGATTTCTTTTTATTATAAATATCTTTTATACTGCAACTTGTATTTGCTGTATGTGTGTGCAGGACAGAGAACAGAAACCTGGGGAAAGAGAGGATCTCTGTCATCCCATAACCTGAGCTTGAGAAAATTCAACAGCAGTTTTGCTATGAGTTTGGTGCACAATGCTCTTAACGACAAACCTGTATGGCTTCTGCACTTTATAAGTTACAGCGCTTATTTGCAAATTAATCACGAGTATATATACAAACATATGTAGTGTGTTTTTAAAGAACAATTGAGCTAATAATTCCTCTTGACATTTTCATTTTTTCCCACTACACAGTCCTAAAAATATGAAAACTATGTATGAAATCTTTCCGATCAGTACTCAGTTTGACTGTAGCTTTTACTTACTGCCCACCAGTTTTTCATGCTGAAAAGGCTCATGATAAACTGTAGGAAAATTTGTAAGGATTAAAATTCCCTATACTGTTCAAAACACATACACTTAAGGTAACAAATCAAGGAAGGATTTGTGTTCAAATGAGGGGCAAATGGCTTAGTAGTTCATGCAACATTTTTAATTTCAGCCTCACATGTTACTTTTATAAAAGGTGTTTCCCATTTGACTTCTCAAAACAGCATGAGAGAAGAATCTTTTTCTGATAACTCTCTCAAAACAAAGAGAAAAACACCAAGATCCCTATTGCATGTTTAGCCTTTGGTTTCTTTGAAGGCTGCACAAGGCTGAAAAAAATAGCCTTAAAAAAAAACAAAAAAAGCAAGAAAAACTCTAAGTCTGGCCCTAGGTTTCTAGTCTTTGGAAGTTGTAGGTGGCATCTTCAGACACAATGACATTACATAACCAGGCCATACTGGGGTGGGCGCTGGAGAAAGGAGGACGGAGGGAGAAAGGAAAAAGCAGCTCATGGAGAGCTCATTGCTCATGGAGAGCAATGGTAATGCTGTCAGGAACTTCAAAAGCCCAATTAGGGGTCATCTGAATTAAGAGCGTAATAAAGCAAACTGCTTCCTGTCCCTTATTTCACTCATTTTTGGCCTGTCTGAATTCTTTACCCCACAGAGTGGCAGCCCTCCCACCAAGCAGACTCCAGCCTTACTCTGGGAAGAAAAATAGCTGTAATAAAAGAAAGAAAAGTTGGGCAAGGGTTGCAGAGCCTTTGCTCACTACATTTTCCCAACCGCAAAATAACTCTGAGCGGGAAGGTCAGCCTTGCCCAAAACATTAATTCACTGGTTTCTCCCCAAAGAAGCAACCAAATAACGTGCCCAGGCCCATGCTAAGCTCCTGCACAGCCCGTGATCCGAGCAGCGCGCACCTTGCCCAGGATGCTGATGGCACAGGCCATGCCGACCTGCCCGACACCCACGACGGTGATCTTGTTGTTGGGCACCGTGCTCTCGGCAGCCACGGGGGTGATCAGCTTCTCCTTAAGCGTCGCCATGCTGTTCTGCACGGGGAGGAGGGAGGAAAAGAGGAAAGAAAAAAATAAGTAAAGATCAATGCAACGGAGGAGAACACGTCATGCAGGAGGCAACCGCGTGCGAGAAGGCGCCCGGAAGCGAGCGGAGGGAAGCGCGGCGCGCTCGGGGCGGCTGCGTGCGCCGTGGGCGCGCAGCCATGGCTCGCACCCCGCGCCAGCTCCCTTGGCTCCCTGCCCTCCCTCCTGCTGCCCTCTTCGCTTTCCCGCTCCCTGCTGCGGGGCCAGGGCAGGCGGCAGCTATTTTGGCAGCATGAAACACAATATCCCTCTGTCGCCCAACTTTCCGGAGGCTGCTGGGGGAAGGCACGCGGGCTGCCCGCGTTCCTGGCCCCCCCGACGGCATCCATCCCTTTAAAAGATATATTTGCCCCCTGCGGCTACAGCAACACCTGTAAAAATATGTGGAACTACTGCAACCGGTTTGGGGGCGCACATGCTCATTTCGCCACGCTGATTCATTCCCACGTGGCCTCGGGACTCGCTTTGTTCGTCCCAAGGGCAGGGATGGACAGGGCGGACCCGACCTTCCCCGTTCCCGGCTCCAGGCGCTCCGCGCAGCACCCGCGCCCACCGGGAATGAGCGGAGGTGGGGGGGAGGGGGAGGGAGGTGCGTGCAGGGATGCTCGGCCCTATCCCAATTCCAAACTCCTGATCCCAAACCCTTATCCCGAACCTCACCCTGAACCTCACCCCAAACCCGCTGCCGACCCACTGCACTGCGGCCCCCCGTACCTCGGGTGCGGAGCTGCGCGCAGCCGGGCAGAGGAGAAGAAGGAGGAGGAGAAGAAGGAGGAGGAGAAGGAGGAGGGGGAGGAGAAGGAAGAGGCGAGGTCAGCGCCGCAACGCGTAGCGCTCGGCGCAGCGAGGGCCCCGCAGCGGAAGGGGCGGTCTGCGCTGCACCGCCTCGCCAAGGACGGCGGCTGAAGGGCGCCTCTGCCCGCCCCTCCATCCCTCCTCACCCCTCCTCCAACCCTCCCTCCATCCCCCCTTCCATCCCTCCATCCCTCCTCGTCATCTCCTGTGGGGCCGCTGCGCGTCGCGGGCGAGGCCGGGCATCGATAAAGCGTTTAGACACAATAAAACATGGACAGAGCGTTCCCGCTCCAGGGCAGAGTTGCTCAGGTCTCCGGTTTTTATACCCTCTACGTTTTTTTTTTTTTTTTTGGGGGGGGGGGGRGTTTTTTTTTTTTTTTTTTTTTAAGGAATAGGCAAGCTGAGATGTGCCTGGTGTGCAGTGTGCCAGCGAGGCTGGGAAGGAGGAAGTGTTTTGCTGAAATTCCTGCATAGCAAACAGGGAAGACAGGGCTGCAAAGAATGTTACCCCCTCGTGCTTTAATATCAGTTCTTTCTCCAGCGAAGAGCACACGTTGAAAAAGAGAAACCTCTGGGTTTCCCTTGAGATGCCCTTGTCCTAGGCCCAAGGTTAAAAGCGATAGCCTTTCCTGGCCAAGGCTGTGCTTACTTTTGACAGAGTTGTTGCCAGCTTAGTGTTTTGTTACTTTTTTTTTTTTTTTTTTGGCCTAGGTTTCCCATGTTCGCTAATGCCTGGGTTGGTTCCCACTGGCTCACCCCGCAGCCAAGCGCAGGCTCGTGCAGGAAAGCAGTGAAAAGAGGCAAAACCGGTTCTCTAACCGTGCCCTTGCCTCCTGACATAGCCATAACCAGCAATTCACTTCTTTATGGCATTGGAAAGGAGAGGAAGGAAGGAATGCAGTGTCTTCCACATTTCAGGCTGGCTCGAGGCAAATGAATGCATGGCCTCCGTAGCCACAGCTGGAATGGGAGCTGGAGTAGATAATATTTATAGGGCAAGATATAAGGGTATGAAAGTTTACTAGGTATTGCCAAATCTGAAATCTACACTTAAAGAAAAAGAGAAAGAAAAGGGACAAGAAAAGGTGTATGAGGAAGGAGAGATTGAAAAGGATCAGGACAAGATTTATTTCTGAATCAGAACCAAGTTTCTATTTGTCCTGATGGTGTTTCTTGCAAAGAGTGTGCACTGCTTCTTTACATGGGGCCCTTCTCTCCCTTATTCTATCATTCAGCAATCGAAGTTGCAGCATTTTTAATTAAATGGAGGAGCAAATGCCAGTTTGCTATTGGCAAAATCATAAGGGTTTTGAAGGCAGACTGAAGCATTGACCATGTTGTAACAGCTCCCCTAGGCCCTGACTGTATATATCAAGCCTCTTTGGCTAGCAGTATTAAAAACACAATATATTTAATCCTTCCTCTGAAGCAGTTGCAATCTCAATAGACAAGGTGAGAAAGCAGAAGAATGAGGATTATTCTCTCTTCCTGCTTTTAGCTATTTATTTTTTATGGATGATGGAGTAGTGAGGCACAAAGAGGAGAAAAGATCTCCCCAAGGTCAAATGGGGAGTCACTTAGTGACAGGGCACAGTCTCAAAGTTCATATTTAGTTTGACGATGTTTGTATTTTTGATGAAGCCCAGTTTTTTGGGGAAAACAACCCCCCGTGTTAAGGGGCACAGTCTAAATAAATTTGGCTGATAACCTTCCTACAATTACAACATTTTTTTGTGTGTGTACATTTTAACCTCATTTAACTTTGAGTTTGTATACGAAGTCTGCAGTTAGATATGTCTGAGGTACTCCAGAGTACTCCAGAGCTTGCATCTGGCCCACCAGCTTCCCAAGACACATAAAAGCAGCTATGGTTTCCCTACTGCTGCTGGAAAAAGCTGCTGCCTTTTTTTTTTTCTTCCCCCCCCCCCCCAAAAAAAAAAAAAATCTGATTAGAGAGACCTCCCATGAAAAACCGGCACCTCCTTCCCACAGCAAATTATTGATGATCTGGTGGCCATGGTCTTGATGTAATAACTATCTAGAAGAATGTAGGCATATAGGCTATGAGTGGCAGGAGGTCACAACATGGCAAGAACATGGGATATAGACCTGCTGACAGGAGCAGGTGAGGTTAAAGACAATCTTGTGGCTCACAGTTTCACACCTGGCAGGGCAGGTCGTCTGACTCCAGGATGGTTATTCTAAGCGCTGTCACACTCCACTGTAATGGAGAAACAAGAAGCGTTGGTCCAGTGGGCCCAAAATATCTTGGAGCCGCAGTTCTGCAAGCTTCCTTTCCTTGTAGTTTTATTTGAAGAAATGCTTCTTTATTTTTGGCACTAGGGCTACTTGTTTTTTTTTTAATGTTGGTTTAAAGATTGATATAGTGTGCCAGATAATACATTTTTGATAGATAAATACATAATGACCTAGTTAGTAAAAAATAATAAATATGCAACACATGCACAAGTTTGCATAGTGATCACCAGCAACTGAAGCTCGTAATGCTGGTGGAAAAGTATAAATGCCTTTTCTGTCCTGTTTAAGCTGTCCTTAAGTAAGACTTTCTTGTTAGCTCACCATGATATCCCACCTTTTTATTAAAAAAAGAAAAAAAACAAGATTAACTTCTATTTAGGGGCACTTGCATGAATGGGCATCCCAAATTTTCCAACATGCTTGTATAGGTCTGTGGAGCCAAGCAAGGAAGCATATTGGGAACCTGTGTCAAGTGAGCAAACTGAGCTTGCTCCTGCAAGCCTGTGTTGCAGTGCTGGGTCTGTGCTTTGGTTTGGGGATCATGCTGTGAGAGGAGGAAATCTCATTTAATGGGTTTTCTTGAACATCAGATGATGGTTATAAAATGCAACAACTAGTAGTTGCACTACATAGTAGCACTCAGACTGTAGCAACTAAACTGCCTTGATAGCACTGGAGCTTAAAAAAATGATAGTTGCTTCTCACAAACATATAGCTGTTGTGCTATAAATGACTAATAATAAAAATAATATTTCATTGCATTATACCAAACATAATGGGTTTACACACAGATAGTTTTACCCTGTATTCTCAATACATGGTTAATTTTTAGGAAAGATAATTATTATATTTGCCCTACAAACTTAGACAGAGTAGCTTTGATAATGGTCCCAGCAGTGAATCAATGGAAAACCCAACCCTGGTTTCTAGACTCACAGTCTAACCAGTGAACAGTTTAGAAGAGGTTATATTTCATTCCTGCCTTCATTTCTTTTGAAAACAGAGCACAAATTATAGCATTGCTAATGCATCCTAATCAGTGTTAACATATCAGAAATACTCACAGACTACCTGGAAAAGATCCTTCATTTTTTGTAATTCTTGCTTTCCAGTAGAGTTTGTTTTGCTTTTGTGTTTTATTTTTATAATGCTCTGTTTTCCCTTACAGCCTATTTGCAAAATCCAAGCCCCTGCAATGTTTTATTTTCAACTGCATTTGCCCTGGCATGCAAACTAGCTTTCATACTCCAAACAAGAATAAAAAACGGCTTTTGTTAACAGAAACTAAATTACTTTATATTTTAATACCACTTTGGCAGCAAAGTGAGTTTGGGATTTCTTCTTTGTGGTTCCAAATATAAGCAAAAATGTGTAGAATTGAGAGACTGCATGACATAGGAACAGTGATTTTTAGCAGTAGATTAATTGCAATGCAATGAGGGTGATGTATTTTCTCTGAAGTGCTTACTGCTCTAAACTTTTTGTAGTCCTGAGATTTTAATGTATGGATTTTGTTTCATGGTTGATGAGCAAATACAGCATTCTCAATGTAATGCCTATCTCCGACACATAAATGCAAGACCATGTTCATGCCAAAGAGTTTTTCACATTAGTTTAATTACCGCCTGTAATGACGCTTTGCAGCCTATCTGCCAAAATAGCGACACATCCCACTGTGATTTATCTTAGTATAGAGATAGCTTATCGTGGTTCAAAGGTTTTTATGGTAGTACTGTATACGGTAGATCTTTATGGCGTATGTGCCAGCTCTATCAGAACTTCTGAAGTTGTTCCACAACTACATGGCAGGAGTGGGCCTTCCTATCCCCAGATGATCATTCACTGCCTCTGCCACCACAGAGGACTCATGGGGACTGTGCTATTAAAATGGGATCTCAAAAGAATCCAGCTACAGAGCAGCTATTCTCCACCCTCCCTTGCACATGGGTTGCCTTGCAGGAAACCCTAAGGGTCTTAATATTTCTGCATAGGAGGTATGCCAGATCCCAGTCATTCTGCCTGTTTCTGTTCTGATCACAGTTGGCTCTGTTTTGTTTGCTTGCTTGATTTTGATATAGAAATATGAACTTGATATTCTAACACCAACCTTCAGCAAATTGCAAGGTCAAATTTAGGAACCATGTGGACTTTTGTCATGAAGCTGAGGACCAGTCCAGAAGGGTTGCCTAGATTCATCATTCTGAGTCAAGCAGGCCATAAATTCAAATCAGTTTTCAGGAAGCGCTTAAGACACGTTTATATGACAGCGAGATATTTAACAGAAGAAAGTTGTGATTTGGGAGGCTGCCTTTATTAATTCTTTGACTAATTAATTCTCTAAATTAATTCTCTGTTTTTGAGTTTTCTTGTAGGCTTGCAGTACTTGGGGAAGGTACTGTGCTGCTTGAATGGTGGCCAGCCAACGCTAAACAGTGCTCGCACTGTATTTTACTAAAGTACAGATTCATCTTTTGTATTTCCTTCCAAATAGACATTTGTTCAAATAATTCCACATTTAGCCTGCTTAACATTAACAATGGTCTCATAACGGACAGCGTGGATTTTTGCCTGTTTTACGGAAATAAACTTCAACTATTATTTTTTCCCCTGGTTTGGGAGCAATTTGTCATCCAGGGCAGGCGCTACACTGAAGGCCTCGTCTCTGCCCATGCTCTCCAGGGAGGTTTTCAGCCTTTGAAGCCCCTTGCTGATGTTAG